TGATGCTCATGAAATTTCATTTTTGGAAAAAAACATAGTCTTCTTTTTTATTTTTGTCCAAAATAAATAGAAACTTTTGTTCGATAAAATGAAATTTCACGAGCGTCGCGTTCTTCCTTAGGGCATTCAAATTATTCTCGATGCACCCTGTTAGAAGAATAGTTTTATACATATTTTGACTTTTTGATATGTAAATATAAATATGTTGAATTTTTTTTTTAAGTATGACACTTTTATAACACCTTAAGGGCGTTAGGTAGTAGTTTATACGGTTTGGTAGTTTACAGCACGAATGCAGATTACGTTCCCACTTGATTAGTTCGGTATAAACGGGCTGCAGGTTTATTAGGTTCGCGAGGTGGAGGTGAAATTTGATAAGTGAGGAGTTACTTGGCTTGATATGTATATATAAATTAGTTGATTTTTTTGTATGACACTTTTATAACACCTTAAGGGCGTTAGGTAGTAGTTTACACGGTTTGGTAGTTTACAGGACGATTGCAGATTACGTTCCCACCTGATTAGTTCGGTACAAACGGGCTGGAGGTTTATTAGGTTCGCGAGGTGGAGGTCAAATTTGATAAGTGAGGAGTTACTTTGAAACCTTCGATAATGGCTTCCGGGGGGAATCCGCAAATGCGGAAACGGGTGCGCTCATATGGCGGCATTTCCACGATTTCTCGTCTCCCCTCGTCTCGTCGAGCTCCGCCGTCTGTGCCTTTCAAGACCTTCTAGAAGACCTTAATATCCCTTAATGATCCTTAAGCATCCTTACTGCATACCCTGAAAAGCGCCGGTGGAAATTCATCTGCAGAGCCGTAACTCACGGATATCCAAAGCGAGCCGAAAGCAGAAAACGCAATTCCAACCTGGCGTCCGCTAATCGCAAATAAAAAATGATAAAATGCCTTCAATCATTGTATATCGATCGAAATATGAGAGCTCGACGCTATTTAGGTTCTACTCTGGGCTAACTCGAATGATTTGATTCGAAAATCCACATTTTGAATGTGTGTCAGGACAATTCTTGGATGACTACGAGTCTTCTTCTTCCTTATGTTGAATTTCGAGCTCAGCACCACTGCTCCATCCCTTATATTTGTATTCCAATGTTCTTCGAAATAATGTGAAGAATTCCTCGTCTAAAGAGAAAGCTCTCTAAACCGAAGTTGCGCGTATTACGCCCTATGATAACGAGTCATGTGTCAAAGTTTCGGACAGTTTGTTCCAGTACCCTTGAAAAAAAGTGTTTTATTCGAATCGACTGATTCGAGAGGGGTTTCACATCACCTTAACACATTGGCGACCGCTGACGTGAATTCACGTCTTTTCAAATTCTATTCTTGGTTGCCGCTGACGTGAATTAACGTCATTTGAAATTCTACTCCCGATTGCCGCTGACGTGAATCACGTCCATAACGATACACGATACAAGTTTGCGGCAACCAGTATCAGAATTTCATTATTTTCGCCGGTACTCAGTATTTGAAACGGTGAAAATTTGCCGGTCGCGAGTGTGTCAAGCAAGACATACAGGTCGACTCTAGGGCTCTCTTTTTTTCAAATCGGTTATCCAAATTATCGAAGCATCGCAAATAAACCACCCCATCGCCATCCGTCGTTCTTCTTTCTCCCTCGAGTCTCCCAATCATCCCCTCGTATTCCGTCTCCGAAGATGACCCACACCAGGAAAGACATTCCGGGCCCAGATGAGGATATTCGGATGCATCGCCGCCGGGTGCTCGTAATTTAAGCATAAGCTCCGGCAAATTAGCTCCGGGCATACGTTATACCCCTTTTCCACCCCTCCGGGCGCACCGGTTCACGAGGGGTTCCCCTGAGCGACTCCCCCCCCTCCAGTCCCCCTTCCAGACTCCCCTCCCCACCCCATCCGAATTGCCAGTTTCCAGGAAAAGCGCGGGGGCAAAAACTGAGCGCCACGGGAGGGGGAGCTTTCCTGGAAGCTTCGGTGGGAGGGTAGTGGGGGGGCGTTCCGCGCAAGCTCCGCCTGCGATTGGGCACGCCCCTCTACACGCCCCTATCCCCACTTCGAAAGCCTCCAACCACTCGAAAGCTCGCTCCCCTCCTGTTCCTACCTTACCCAACCTATGCCCAACCTAACCTAACCTAACGGTAAGCTGACCGAACACCCGACGCGGAATTGCCAGACCTCGCGGACTTTTGCAGCAGCCCTTTGGGGTGCAATCGTTACCCTGAGATGTAGTTTTACTCCTAACCTGTACTGGAGACTTTTTAGAGATTTTTCTTTCCCTCCTTCACTTGGATGCCCCAGGTGTCGGGACGAATGATAAGGTTGGGGCTCTCTTATCGATCCCTGATGCGGCCCCGCGGCTCTGTTGGTCGTACCTTAGACTCCTGAAATAAGGGAATCGCATTTAACCCGAGTGTGAAACGGTGTTGCCTCCTGGTCTTGAGGTGATGAGATGACGGGCGCTAAGGGTGAGGTTAGGCTAGGGCGCTGGGGGAAGTACTCGGGCTTGGCTCGTCACGGACTGCATTCGGCTGGTAATGGGGCTGGATTGGTTGTGGGATTGTGTCGCGGTCTGATGGTAAGTTCTCCCTCGATGCTGAAGGCGAGACTTGGAAGGGTTGGACTCGGTTAAGGGGATCGCATTTTTCCACTATCAAGGAAATTAGCTCTTTGAACGGCGCCGGGGAAATATTGCGACTTAATGTCCAAGAAATATCCTGGGGAAAAAAATGGAATATGAAATGACAGGGTCATTTCATAGACCCCTTCATGAAATATGAAATGACCATGTCATTTCATGGACTCATTCATGGAATATGAAATGACCACGGCACTTCATATTTTATGATTTCGTGTCATGATTTATGATTTCCTTGATCGTTATTCGTAATTCATAACGTTATTCATCGTTATTCGTAATTCATAACGCTATTCATCGTTATTCGTAACTCATAACGTTATTCATCGTTATTCGTAATTCATAACGTTATTCGTAATTCATAACGTTATTCATCGTTATTCGTAATTCATAACGCTATTCATCGTTATTCGTAACTCATAACGTTATTCATCGTTATTCGTAATTCATAACGTTATTCGTAATTCATAACGTTATTCATCGTTATTCGTAATTCATAACGCTATTCATCGTTATTCGTAACTCATAACGTTATTCATCGTTATTCGTAATNTTTAAGGCGATACGAAAGGATACTTTATGTATATCGAAACGTCAAAGTATGTATACAACTTCTCTTAAAAACTGGATGAGCAGAATCGCTGAAAACTTCCGCATGTGATTATAGAGGCCCTAAGGAAATACCTGGTCCTCGTGACATTTCAATTTTAATAAAAAGTCTCTTTTTATTTATTCCAGACTTGAACCAGGAATACAGGTTTTTTGGAAAATTAAATTCCATGAGCGTCATTCTTCCTTAGGGCCTCCATAATTAAAGTGCTGTGGTGTTAAAGGATTTGGTGCATACAGTTTGAAGGATTGTTTTATAAATATTTGTATGCTTTATATATATATAGAATGACTCTTTCGTAATACCTTAAACTGCTCAACTACGTTTCAAGATGTTGCTTTATATTGAATTGCGCTACCCGCAATTTATTACGTCTAATTGGACCGGATTGATGATAATGAAAGTTGATTTAATTTAGATGTGAGTTTGTAATTTATGGAGAAAATGTCAAGATGCCGCGTTCAGGATTTAATGGTTTAATTTAGGATGATTCCAACATTTACCTACGGATAGGCGTTCCCTCGTTTCGATGGATTTCTATGGCGTTTGATCGAATTTGCAAGAATATGTAAACAATGTCATTCTGATATCTACTTGTGCTAATGGCATTCAGTTGCAGAAAAGTTAAATGCTGACAGAGCGCGGAAGTGGTCAAAATTTCCGTCAGCAGAACCACTTATGCCCGTGCTGCACATGTTTGTAATAATCGAGTACAACGTACCTGAAAATAGTTTGAATTTCTTCAAAGATATCGTAAATACTTTGGAAATCCATCAGACCGGTACACCGTCCCCAATCATTAGAAAAGTGATGAGCATTACGAGAATATTTAAAAATCAAACCACGTGGTTAATAAATAAGAAGTCTATAATTTTCGATTTTCACGTTTTAATCCATATTAATGGTATGAAATTTTCTAGTTTAATCGTCGCTAAATTATGACGTAAAATAGTAAATTCGTTCTTGGGTTACCTAGATAAATGGTTTCCGGATTTATTACTAATGAAATGTTTGTTTAGCTCTTTTTACTAGCCTTCAACCTGTTTTCTCGTCCTTGGCTGAACTGCAAGTTCTAATAATACCGTAAAACGCTCACTATCGCTTTCTATCCACCGGAAACCGGAACTCTCCGATAATAGTAGCAGCACGATGATTCGTATGAGCGAGGATCCAGTAGATAAAGAGGTCCATGATGAGCTATAATGTGGATATCGCTAACCTCTTCCAGTCTGTGTTAAAGTTTAAAGAAGGCTCCATTCACCCGAAGTCCCGTTTAGATTATTTATTCTAATATATTATGTTACAGCGCGATACGGTTTTTCATATCCGGGATTCTCATGTGACGCGGGACGCTGGATATTCACAGATTGTGTTTATCTCAACGGCCTTATCGCGAGGCGCTAGAGATAAAACGCGGTCCAGGCTCGTAATAATCCTAAAGATATTCCATAGCGCGGAAGTTTCGCTGGTTCCAGGACGGGAATAAGAGTGTATAAGGAGAACTAGAGGATAATAATCCTCCATTTAACAATCGCGCTTTTTCGTTAGAAAAATGTCCTAACGATATTAAATGAAAATGCAGTCCTCTTGTCTTTCTCATAAATATATTTACGTAAAGTACAAGTTTTATACCGAAGCGTAAGATATCAAATATACACAAACTAAATGTACGCTAACTGCAGAAGATTGTAAGGGGTGATTCTACTATCGAAATGGATATGATAAATAAACCACGTTAGGGATAAAATTCAAAAGTCGAGTTCCTTAAGTCGCTCAATTTTATTTAATTAGGTAAAAGTAACGAAGTATCCATTCTTCCGAATTCTCGAGTAGACATACCCGGAATCGTTTTAGGAATATCTAGGAAGACCGAGATTAATGATTCCGAGATTCAGCACCAGTGTTGAATAACCGCCCCTTATCCGGCTCGTTTCCAGTCGACACCATTAGGAGGAACCGCCAGATCGTGATTCTTCATCACACGTAACGCAGTTAATCCACAGCATCCTCAGCCCCTTCTCCAAGAAATCCGGCCAGTCCTTCGATCGCGATTACCGATCTCCTTTGGGCGCTCCACCACTCCGCGGCAACTGGGTGCACGGATGCAGTCGGGTTCCGCAGCAGCCAATGCAGCCTTATCACCTCGACACACCCTCTCCCCGAGTAGCCGGGTATATCCGTAGGAAGTCCCAGACGCAAGGCGGAGAGGTTAGAGTCTCGTCGGATCCGGGGATGCGAAGCGAGGAGGTCCCGGCGTCGGCGTCCGTAGGTGGGGATGGCTGCCGCCACCGGGCCGGTGGAAGGGCGTCAGAGGGGCAGGTCGGGCGCCGCGACGCCGGAGCGGGTACAGTCGCGAGCGGGTCGCCGCCGTCTGCGAACGCGTGCCCGCGGTGTATCCGCCGCGCTTCGAAACTGTACCCTGACGCCGGTGTTTAGCAATTACAAGATAAGGTTACAACCGTCAGTCGTAATTCCTATACGATGCGATTATAACGCAAGAATTACAGGAATTACGAAGGACTTACAAAAAGACAACTTACAACTACGCTCGCAGTTTCTATAAACTACACTTACCTGGGAAAAAAGGATGTCCGGCGTCGCGGCGTGGGAGCCTCCGGGGGTGGCCGCGACGCCTGGGGCCCGCCACTCGGTGCGCGCCCCTTATATACTCGCGCCGGTGACGCACCGCTAGCGAGAAAGCTCCGAGATCGGCAACACGGACGGCGGCTCTACGGAACCAGCGGGAGGAGCGAATTTTCGATTCCGGGGTGTTTCGGATCGGATGTTGGCGGATCATTCGGCATCTTGCTTTGGATTTGAATCGTATCGGGCACCCTCAAGGGCCGAAGGGGGACAGGACATTTCGGGAAGGCGGATGCAGTGCGTAAGGGGTGCAGTGTTACCTATGACCTACTACCTTTGAGCCGGCGATTGCCGGTTTGAGGGAATGGATTTTCAAAGCGCCATGGAGACTTTCGCCGAGGCTTGGGTGGCTGCCAACACGAAGACCGATCAGGTGCAGGTAAATGAACATCGGTTGTTTATGGAGCTTGTTCTACTTAGCAATTGTTGCCTTCCGTATCGAATAGGTGGTTCAAATGAGTTTGGCTTTTCGTTCTTCTTTGCGAGGTGGTTGTTGGAATTCAGCCAAGCTTCCTTTTCGCAAGGACCACGTGTAGATCCTTCCTCGACGGATCCTAAGTATTACTCCCATTGGTTTTCTGTGGCAAGTTTTGGCAATGATCATGTAATCATGGTACTTGGGGGAGTAAACCCCAGTAATTCCGTAGAGAATCATCTTGATGGATTGTTTTATAGTGTTGGGGTGGAACATTTGGGGACGACTCATTTTTTATGGCTAAACGGAGAGTATGATCATGAGTTAGGGTTACAAGTAACTATGCCTCTTTTGTAATGGGGGGAAGTAATTTACATTTAACGAACGTGGAGGGAGGTTTTGTTGCTTAAGCGTAACAAGATATCTTCGCGCGGAAGCGAAATATCCACCGGTGTTGATGGTTTTCAATTTTGAGCGAATCCATGTTATCCTACCATGAAAGCTCTTCCGAACACATTTCGGAATTCATATCTTTAGTCGCTTCTTTTTAGCGCTTGAACCGGAACTTTTTGTATCTTTCTAGAGGATGTTTGAAATGCCATATATCCGGAGTATATAGATACGTACGTTGTGAACAACCAGATTAATTCATAGCACCACTGATTCTGAAAGCTTCATGACCATCAAGTTGTATCGACTCGGATTTATTGCACCACAAAAAGTGATGAACGTTATGCTGCTATTCAGTGTAGTTAGGATAGAGACAACACCCGCGTGTTTTTAATACCACATACATCTACGTTGTGAACAATCAGATTAATTCGTAGCAGCACTGATTCTGAAAGCTCGATGACCATCAGGTCGCCTCGAATCAGATTTATTGCACCATAAAAAGTGATGAACGTCATTCTGCTATTTAATGTAGTTAGGGTAAAGGAGACCCCCTCGTGTTTCTAATACCTCATACATGTACGTTGTGAACAATAAGGTTAATTCATAGCAGCACTGATTCTGAAAGCTCGATGAACATCAGGTCGCCTCGATTCAGACTTATTGCACCACAAATGTGATGAACATTATTCTACTATTTAATGTAGTTAGGGTAGAGGAGACACCCTTGTCTTTCTAATGCCTCATTCACGTACGTTGTGAACAATCAGGTTAGTTCATAGCAGCACTAATTCTGAAAGCTCGATGACCATCAGGTCGCCTCGATTCAGACTTATTGCACCACAAATGTGATGAACATCACTCTACTATTTAATGTAGATAGGGTAGAGGAGACACCCTTGTCTTTCTAATGCCTCATTTACGTACATTGTGAACAATCAGGTTAATTTATAGCAGCACTGATTCTGAAAGCTCGATGAACATCAGGTCGCCTCGATTCAGACTTATTGCACCACAAATGTGATGAACATTACTCTAATATTTAATGTAGTTAGGGCAGAGGGGACACCCTTGTCTTCCTAATGCTTCATACATCTACGTTGTGAACAATCAGGTTAATTTATAGCAGCACTAATTCTGAAAGCTCGATGACCATCGTCTCGATTCGGCGGTCCTCGTGTTCAGATGCGCGATTCCCGTCGTTAAGGGATCAACACTTTTCGGCAGGATCGTTATACGGAATGATTGGCTCTGGCCAATATTGAGTTGTAAACTTTCCGTCTTATCTTTTTTGGAAATAAAATCAAGCTTTTGCTGTTGTCTTAGCCCCGGTACCGATAGGTTTACGGATGAAAAGGCAGTTAAGTAAGGACTCTCGCAGGGGTGTTAGGAACTTCGAGACACCCAACTCACCCCATTCGTGTTATACGGCCAATTGGCCACCCCTACTATTTCCGTCCTCAACTACCGCGGCTAATTTCACTTTAAAGTCATCAGGCATTTTTAACCTGACCGTTGTGCAACACTTTGCGCATTTTTAGACCGACAGGAACTGTCACATTTTCGATTTTTTTTTTAAATACATTCTGGACTACATATGTTCTATTTTTGAAGTTTAACGTGATGTGAAAGGGTCATTCTATATATATATATATATATATAAATAATATATATGAAACGTCAAAGTATTTATAAAACATTTCTCCAAACTGGGTGCATCGAATCATTTGGAACTTCAACACGTGATTATGGAGATCCTAAGGAAGAACGCGATGCTCATGAAATTTCATTTTTAAATAGAACTATGATATGATTTTTTATAAGAAATATCTGAGATAAATACATTTTTTTTTTATTAAAGAAAATTGTCATGGACACCACGTTCTTATTTAGGGCCTTCATAATCACGTGTTGAAGATTCGAATGATCGCTGCAAGAGGTTTGGGGAAGGGTATTATAAATATTTTGACGTTTTTTATGTATAGACTCTTTCATATCACCTTAAGCTGTCCATTAGAGAGTAAGCAAGACCTTTCATAAGTAACCACGCTTACGAGGGCGTCGAGGGCTCTCCGGAATCGAATCAGCCCCATTCGAGTTACACGGCCAATTGGTCACCCTTGAGAATTTCCACGTCCCCATCATTCAGAGCCACCGTGGTTAATTTCACTTTAGAGTCATCAGTTTTTCCTCGACCTGCCGGTCCCACCTGCTAATTCGTCTCGGATTGACGTAACGATCAACAACCCCCTGCGACGTGGGACCATTAGGGGAAGATCGTATAGTGTCAGTATCCTAACCTGCAAACGTGCTTGTCACTCCCCTCGGAATGACCATCTAACACATATACCTCTCTATTAGTCTAGTAAATAAATTAATTCAAAAGATTTAAATGGAGTCGCATACCTAACCTCTTTCTACCTAAATGTTCCCCCTGGCTTTCGCTGCTAATTTTTTTCTCTCAAGATAATCTCTTGAATGAAGTAAAAGAAACATTAGCATCAAATCAATGAAACATAGTCTGCGCTCAAAAATGTCGTATTTTTAACACTGATACATAAATTCTATAGATTAAAATGGAGTCGCATGCCTAACCTAAGTCTACTTAAATGTTCCCCCTGGTTTTCGCTGCTAATTTTTTTCTCTCAAGATAATGATCCCTTTGAATGAAGTAAAAGAAACATTAGCATTAAGGGCAATTATTTAACCATATACTTGAAATGAGCTGTATGAAAAGTTGCCTTAAAATTAATTCAACCTAGTCAAAGTGAATATCATCCACCAGAACTTTGAACATTAATCGGTAAAAACAAAACGTACAAATGGTGAGACCAGATTAAGCAATGTAGAATTCTTCCTATTAAGTGCACACTTAGTTTAACCCGGATTAAGGGCAATTATTTACCCATACACTTGAAATGAACCGCATAAAAAAGTGCCTTAAAGTTAGTTCAACCCAATCAAAGTGAATATCATTAATTCCTGGAACTTTGAACATTAATCGGTAAAAACAAAACGTACAAATGGTGAGACCAGATTAAGCCATGAAGAACTTGTCCTTATGACTGCACGCTTAGTTTAACCCGGATTAAGGGCAATTATTTACCCATACACTTGAAACGAGTCGCATAAAAAAGTGCCTTAAAATTAGTTCAACCCAGTCAAAGTGAATATCATCAGTTCCCGGAACTTTGAACATTAATCCCCGCGAGCGTCCCCAAAGCCAGTATAATCAAGGTTTCCGGAAATGTTATCAACCATTTCTGCAAAATCTGGGGAGGGGGTGGGGAGACTTTTCGGTTTTTCGAGAATCCCAACGTCGCGTTTTCCCGTCCAACCGCGGCAGGGAAACCGGAGGTCGTTTCGCGTTCGAAAATTCGCTTTGAAAAGCAGGACGATACAGAATAGGGACGAAGGGGGAGCGGGTAATCCTCGGTAAAGCCGCGTAGGGTACATACACGGACCCGCGTATGTACTCGTGCGCATATGCACGTATGTACTTGGCGTGCATATGCATGCACGCGCCGCATATAGGACGCAAAGTGCGCTCGCGAGCACGTGGGGTGGTACAGAGCTGCAGTCTGCCTGCAATGCACCGGCAACAGTTGGGCACGTGTGCAGGAATGTCCATCGCGTAAATCGCCCATCACCGGGTAAAAGGTATACCGGGTGAGGTAGGTGCCACCTCTACCCCTCGGGAACCTTAAATAACCTCCTCAAGTATTTTTAGGTTAGGAGAATCCGCCCAATAAGAGCTGCTGAAACCGTAAAACCGCCGGACCCGATCCTTTTCTTTTTTTTCGCTTCGATGCAAAATCACCAGAAATTCCCGATAAAGAGGAAGAAAGAAAAAACGTTAAGGGGATGTGAGACACGTCGAGGAACTCGATCGACGTCGGTAAAGAAGGTTTTTCTAAATATCTAGGTTGGCGACGTTCGTTTTCATATTGTGAAAATTTATATTGCGAGGGAATATCCCCTCGATCGGTAGATAAAGTCTTGATCTGCGTGGTTGATCTGAACCTTGTCCAGGTCGTGATGTTTCCGATTTTTGACCGCCCAAATAAATAGTATTGCATTTTGTAGAGAAGCCGGCCCGTCAGGTTAACTTTGGAGGGACATCACGCGTGTTTAGGCCGAGTTTAGCTTTTCGTTTTTATATTGTGAAAATGTATATTGCGAGCGAATATTCCCTCGATCGGTAGATAAAGTCTTGATCTGCGTGGTTGATCTGAACCTTGTCCAGGTCGTGATGTTTCCGATTTTTGACCGCCCAAATAAATAATATTGCATTTTTCAGAGAAGGCGACCCGTCAGGTTAACTTTCTAGGGACATCACGCGTGTTTAGGCCGAATTTAGCTTTTCTGTCGGAAGGATGGAAGGTATAGGTGGCAGGGAATACAGGAGGGGGTACGCACATGGGGGGTCACGGGTTCTGATCATGATACGGATGTGCCCCTGCCTTCTTCCTGTGGTGCGGCCGCGTCCACGGCATGGCATTCGGTGCAATAAGACCGCGTGTCCAATGCGGATCACTTCGATCGGGAATTTGGGCGAGGTCGTTAGACCGGAA